GCCTACCCCTTCGGGGATAACAGGCGTGATGTTGTGTTGTGTTATGTCACAGCAGCTGTCAAATATTGAACGTCTGATGGCGAGCTATTAGCTAATTCCCTATTGGATAAAGAACGAGTTGTTCACATTAGCAAAAATACGGTAGACCCCATTGGATCAAAGGCGTGGACATAGATTATAGTCTGAAACAACACTTGACTTACTTTTATTCCCATAACATATTTGAAGCTGCTGGTAGAAACTAATAATAAAAACTGAAATAGTATATTTAAATGTTTTCAAACGCTGGCGTTGTATTTCTTCGTGTGAATGAGGTTACCGGAGGCCCAATTACCCACCATCCCTAGTCTTCCCAATCCCCGATTCCCGCACAATCCTCAAATTCCTAATTCCCAAAAAGCCGCTAACGCACTTGTAACGCCTCTGATGTTTCGGGTGTCCATAGGCGACGCCCGTTGCTTACCATCAGGTGAACCGTATGCTCGTTAACCGGCTTATCCCATAAAAAATGCAAGTACCTAGCTCATTTACTGCCGTGGCCAGATACTTAAACTATAGTTTAGTAACAATTTTGTTCCGAAAACTATTGCTAGGACTGGAAGAACTGGATTAAGTATATTAAATAACTCTAAGTCCAATGGTTAGTGTGATTTTTCCAATAAGCTCGAAAATCTATAGAAAAGATGTAGGAAGTTAAGGGAAAGGGAACATTGTGTTGTTATATAAAAAATATAATTTAGACTTCTAATACTAAGGAATCCTTTAAATTTTTTTATCCACTACATTATGATACAAACATGAGTCACCGAGCTGACGGATCACCTGACGGTAAGCAATCAGCATCGCTGTAAAAAAAGAGATTTTACAAATAACGATATCGTCTTTTCTCCGACAGATTGGTTGATAGCGATACGTAATGGTGTTGAAATCATTATAATACTTACACGTTAATTTTAGACGAATGATATCCACGCTGTCAGTTCACATGCACGGTTCAGTGGAAAGCATGATATATGGCTACTTGTTGAATGAGCTGCCAAAAGTCATCAGGGTTCATTTGAAGGCCATCTTACGTAAGGCCTTACTTCCACCCACGACCACGACACCACCACCCGCAACAGGCAAAGATGGCAATGGTGAGTTAAAACCGAATAACGGTAAAATGGGGGAATAGGGATCGTGAGGTGAATAGAGACAAGAGAGGTGAATCGATACTATGGAGATTTTCCCAATATCTATTCCGACGAATGGGGTGAATAGACCCCATTTTACGGTAGTTTATTTCCATAAAACTAAACACGCTCTTTTAAACTTTGCATATCCGAATGTTTGATGGTCAACCGTTTACTGAAATTACTTCTTTGTTCTTAAGTTTCGATCAAAATCGATGTTCCAAAGCGGTTCTTATCATACTGAGCCACTTTTGAATCAATTTGAAAAATATTCTTTAATTTAAATGAGTTGTGGGCACCGTAATAGTAAATCATTGTGTCATGGTATGTCGGTACATACCTATAATGACCGTTTTTACCAACCTCTCTAAACCATTAACTTAGAATTACTTAGCGAAAAAAGCTCCTAAATTAACTCCTTAACGGTACCGTTAGGTGTCACTTATAGGTTGGTGAAAACCAAAATGTCATTAAATTAAGGTCGACCACTATCTAAACTTAGGGATACCTTAAAATTTAAGATAGGCTGGTGAAACCGGGCATAAATGTCTCAAATCTGCATTGAAATGGGCAGTAGGTACGTCAGAAAACATGGACCATTTTTACGTATTTATTACTATTAAAATGTTGTGTTCATTGTAAAACATTTTTATTTCAGGTTTTCACAGACCTGCAGCAGAATGTTCAGAGGGAGATGATGACGTATACCAAAGAGCCGAGTCAAATGTCCCATCTAACAAACGTAATGTAAAATCACCGAAGAAAAGGCAACTTGCAAAGGAGTATGCAACGGAAGTGAAGAACGAAGAGTGGACATCAAATTAACATTCACCACCCGCAATTTGAGGACTAACGAGAAGATTGTTTAGCTTTAAGAAAAATGGATACGTGGCACTGGAATATCAAGGGGGTATGAGAAGTCCGACGGGAAGACTATTACAACCAAACTGGAGCAAACGAACTCCGCTCGTTGATATAGTCTAGCCCATTAGTGAGCTGACGTGGCGATAGGCGGTAGAAAGGATAGAAAATTTCTAAAATGAATGCCACTAAAACTGTAACTAGCGCTATATTAATTGTTATTTAAGAAATTTCATGTGAGATCAATATTTTTTTTGGTGTTGCACAGGTATCCCGTTTGTACAGTTTGCGAATAATAAATAAAAATGTACCACCCACTTTTCACTATTTATGTTATGAGTCCCATGTAATAGGGGGTGAGCCTATTGCCATATACCGGGCACAGTTCCAGACTCCGTGCTACTACTGAGAATTTTTTAAAAACCCAGTAATACTTTGCCCGACCCGGGAATCGAACCCGAGACCCCTTGCTCGGCATTCGCAATTGCGACCACTCGGCCAATGAGGCAGTCAATATCATTTTATTCAATATCATTTTAGTCAATATCATCAATTAGTACATTCAATATCCACACAATACGGATGCAATGGGCGCTAGTGTTGCAATTCAAGAGTACTAAATTTCACATGTCAATGTCGATCAATCAAAATTGGATTCAAGAGTAAGCCCTCAGGTTTTTCTACAGCAGCTATTGATGTCCTTTATTAGTGTGATACTGATAGATTCAAGGACTATGCTTTTCGCCAGTCGTTTAGTAGTAACAGGGGTATCTGAAAACCTTATAATGCTTTGCCTTTTTCAGCGATTGACTACAGGATTATTGTAATACCAACGTTAGAGTAGATAACATTCACCATACGCACGTTTAAAGAACTAAATCCGACGATGGCGTCGACTTTTCGTAATCCATATATATTTTAAATCCAGTGGCTACTGATCGCCGGTACATGGAATCCAGTCCGTGCAGAGCTCCATCGTATAATTTTATTTCCTATTAAAATAAAAGTTAAATAGATTAATTTTGCAAACCGGCTTACTCACGAACTGTTCGAGGATTGCTCGATTAGTTTCAAGCTATAATAGGGGCTTATAATCGAATAAAATTTATTTGAGTGGACACTCAAATAAATTATACTAAACGTAACATCCACTTTTCGTAAGTTACAAGTCCTATGTGGCTTCATACTCACGTCAGAGACGAGATACAATAGTGTTTTAGTCAGTACGTAATTATGAGGCAGTTTCATTGTGTCCCTCAAAGGGAAGTACCTAGTTTAGATGAAGATTTTATAGACATACAACATATAAAAACAGGGTACATTCATACCAGGCCATGAATGGATTTTAGTGTGAAGTTTGGTATCTTGATAACTTGGGCACGCAGTTTTTGTACTCTGGCTTTAATTAAGTCTATAGATTCGTCCATGTACTCTTGTAACGCTATAGATTTCTCCTTGTCGTATTTTCTAAAAAATTAAGAAAACAACACAATATAATTATGAGATCTTTAACGAAACATTAAGGATTAAACCTTTAACTAAATACAAGCTGCTCTTAATGCGGAAGTTGTGTCAATGGTCAATCTCTCAGTAATTGTAAGTGGCCTATCTACAGTTGGGATTACCGTGGCCAGAGGTGAATAAAATCTGGAGAAAACCTTCGGCAAGCACCTCCTAGGTACCTACCCCTAATTTTTTGGGCGCTGCCGCCTCTCTATAGGCAACAAGAGCTTCTCGCGGCGGATGATAAGCCATTCGCTACCATAATCTGTCCGGTCCCGTCTACTGTGGGACATAGGTTTTTTTTTTTATTTTTTTTTTAAGGGAGGAAAATCATCGAATGACTGCTCCCGCCTGGGTGAGGCGGAAGGGAGTGTCAGACTCTTACTGACTAAAAACCACCCCGTTCCTTCTCCTGCACGTCGAGCCGGAGCCCCGGTTACCCGTTAGGTTCTCCGCGACTCCGAATCGGCATCGGCCCTATTGGGCCCCATCTGTGGTGGTCTGATGGCTCTTTGAGGCGCGCGCGGAACGCTACGCGCCGTACGCTCGGGTCTGTTTCTGGTCAGACGGGGAGCCACCCATGCTCGCCGTCCGCAGTCCCGCGCTTACGGTGGCCGGAGATCGTCCCGCGATCCCCGACGCCCGGTGTGTCCTTCGCGATGGCTGGGTTGCGAGGAGGCAGCGTTTCGCTTCTTTACGCGTCCCGCCTCCTCCTTAGTTAGCATGACTGCTTCGCAAAAGGAGGAGACGGCATCCCAGTCCCCGCATCATGGCCTGCACTAGGCCCGGACGCGAGAGGTCGCCATCGTCGATCACTTTCCTGAGGGCACGGCGGTGCTCAGCCCACGCAGGGCATTCCGCAACAGTATGTTCCACCGTGTCCTCAGGGCGGTCCTCGCAGTGATGACACCCGGGCGTTTCCTCCCGCTCCATCAGACACAGGTACCTCCCGAAACTTCCATGTCCGGTGAGGACCTGCGTCAGGCGGTAGGTGAGGACGCCGTAGCGTCTCTCAAGCCACTCCTCAAAGAGGGGACTTACCGCTGCAATGGCAGCGAGCCCAGCCCTCGGTGGAGTGAGATTACCTTCGTTTTCATTGTATTCGTCCTCGTCTCCATCCCTGTCCCTGTCGCTTGCTCGACCGTTTACACCTAAACCTTTCACATTATCGTCATTGTTTAATATTGCCAGATTAATATTAGCACATATAAAATATGCTAGAAGCAAGTTTCTCATTTTTTCTTATTTAACTTTTACATCAATTTAATCCTTGTTGGGCGAACCATTTCAATTCTTATCTTCAACAATTTGCTTTTGAGCCATAAATCGGGAAATTCAATTAAAAGTTGCGTAATTTATGTTTTTCTTTTCATGATAATAGATTTTTGGAGTAAGTACTATGTAACTTTCAAGATAGATAAAGCAAGATAAAGTACCTATCGTATACATGCGAAGGTGGTCGACATGTTTTACATTATATTTTTTATTATTAGCATTACAATATATCAGGCCAATTCGTACACAATTCAGTCCGCGATTCATAAATACTATAAAAGTGGTAAGAAAATACATTTTTTTATTGGATAAGCCGGTAAACGACGGATCACCTGTCCATGTCCATGGATACCCGGAACACCAGAGTACAAATGCATTGCTGGCCTTTTGCGCATTACGAATTTAAAGATTGTTGATGATTCGGAGATTAAGGAGTTTGGGGGGTCGTGGAATCACTACGGTTGACCCGGCCAATTCGTGCCGAAGCGTGGCCCACCCATATAAAAAAATATTTTTTGGTATATCTTCCTGTCTTTATCCTAAATTGCGTAGGGTCGGTATGTTTTCCAGGGCTTTTGTCCGTTGTCCTGTCAGATGTCATTGTCACAAACTCCCTTTTGTTTCATACCTTCAGCTGTTGAAAGATGTTATCGATGAAACTTTATTGATTAGCCTATCAGTTGACAAGTTGTTATATACTATAAAGTGCAACTGGGATGATGACTATGTATGTAGATTAAAAATTAATTTTGTACGGCAGTTAGTTAATGAAAAAATTTATTTTGCGGATAATAAAACAATATTTAGATTAAGCGAATTTAAGTTTAGGAGTGGACGATCGTTTCTTCATCGCTCAATAGTAATGTCCTAAATCGTGACGTCACACGAAATTTCAAATAAATATGTCGTCGAAAGTATTTGATTCTGAATGAAAATGTAAATCGTATTTTAAAAATTAGATTATCTAAAAGACGAACACCAAAAGAAAAATTGGTCATTATCCCATTTTTAAAAAAAGCGTTGTCCCGCATTAAGATTTATTGCTATAGGTAGTGGGTGCGTTTAGAAACATATAATTTCACATTTCACCCAGCCATGAAACAACAATTTATAGATTTTATAAAGAATTAGCTGACCCGGCAAACGTTGTTTTGCCATATAAATGATTTCCTAGTAACTAATAAATTTAGGAGTAGACTACTTCTAACATTTAGGGGGATGAAAAATTGACGTTGGCCGATTCTCATAGATACTGGATAAGCACAAAAAATTTCATCAAAATCGGTCAAACCGTTTCGGAGGAGTATGGCAACGAAAACTGTGACACGAGAATTTTATATATTAGATTGTTCATTGTAGAAACCACAGCTACGACACGTTGCACAACAGCCAGTTGTAATGTTTTTCTTCCTTTTAAAGAGAGTTTTTTCTTTATTGAACTTTTAGTACGATTTCATATAATTTTACTTTGTTACAGATGGCGTTCAGAAACTCAGAAAAGACTGGGAACTTTATAGGAAGCCTATAGAACATTCGATAGCTATGGTAACCGCCTACATACATGATACATACCCATAACTACTTTGACTGTTTTCACCAACCACTCCAAAACCATCTTTTAACTAAGAGTTACTTAAAGTAGAAAGACCGCGTGAGAGAACTTAAACTAGAACTTAAACTAGAACTTAAACTAGAACTAGAGTACGCTATTCAATTATGTCAATTCGAATTCTTGGAGTGAGCTCGATCGTATTCTCGCCCGTCATTGGTCGAGATTATTCTGACAACCAATGACATGGCGGGCCGCGATTGAGTTCACTTCTGTCTTTCGAATTGCAAGTTACAGAATAGCCTAGCTGTACGTTTAGGTGTCACTTATAGGTTGGTGAAAATCAGAGTGGTATTAAGTGCCACCTATTTTAGCTTAGGGGTTTCTAAAAGTTTAAGAGAGGTTTCTAACATAACGTTTTTTTTTATGGCATAAGCCGGTAAACGAGCAGACGGATCATCTGATGGTAAACAATCAGCCCTGCCCATGGACACCTTAAACAACAAGGCGTCACACTTGTAACACCTTGTAACGGCACTTGCGTTACCGGCCTTTTGGGAATTGGGAATTTGAGGATTGTGGAGGTTTCTGTGAGGCCGTGGTATCACTCCGGGCGAGTCGGCCCATTCGTACGGAAGCATGGCTCTCCCACACTTACCTGGTGAAAAGTGGGCGTTACGTACATATGTACAGAATTCCCACCTTTATGGAGATTAAAATGGCGATTAAATGACGATAATCTTGTATTAAAAACATCAAAGAAATAATTTGATTAGTAAAGTTTTATTTCAGGCACTTAAAGAAACAGTGGGATACCGTGGTATGAATGTCTACATCAGTGCAACCGAAGAACCACTAGCCATGGGATATTATCATGACGACAATCAAATACGACTGTTGGTATTTTGTACTTCTTTAATTCTATACTAGCTTGCAGTTGGCGGCTTCTTTCACGATGGAATTAGAAGATTATTCTCTCCATACAGGAATATCAGGGGCCACTCTTGAATCCAATTTGGATCGATCAACATTGGTACCTATTGTAAAATTTCGTACTCTTGAGTTGCAACACTAGCGCCCATTGCATTCGTATTGCACGGATATTTAATGAACTAAGTGGTATTGAGTTTGGCTTTATATTCCGTACTCTGAATGCTATTTGAACAGCTACAATAGGGGTTGTATAGTTTTGACATTGAATAATTATTGAGATTTTTTGAATTGAAATTGCATTGGCATTGTGATTGGTTTCAAGAGTAAGCACCCAGGTGAGGATCAAACATAGCCTATGTATCATCATATAGGAGTATGTACCTATGTATGTAAAACTTAGGTACTGAGATAAGTAAGCTTTCCAAATATTTTATTTCATATCGGTCAGTAATTAATAGAGAACAAACAAACAATACATTTTTAACCTTTATAATGATATTAATATTTCTCTATAGAAATGACTAGCAATAGTAGTAGTTACATACGTTAGAACATCACCTATGTAGTCGGTCATATTTATTTAACAGTTACGACTTGGTTCCTTTGAAATAAAGTCAAAAATGCATTGAACAGGCGTCTGCACGACGAAATTTTGAAAATTATACCTATTTTATTTTTATTGAACAAATAATTTTTCTTTGAGAGTATAGGTATTCCGTGGTCCCGCCTTGTGAGGCGAGAGGGATTGTCAGACTTTTACTGAATAAAATCACTCCGTCCCTACTTCTGCTTCGAACCGGAACCTCGGTTCATCAACTTCACCCCGGAAATTATGCACAGCTCTTGGAATAAATAGAATTGAGTACTTGCCAACTAGTCAAATTCAATACGTTTTTCGAACTGTCAAAAAGACGGTATTCTATGAATTTTGTACGCAATTGTGTATTGTGACGTCACGTTTTTTAGCGTCAAACAGCATACTTATTTCTAACAAATACGCTAAAAAAATTGTAAAATGAAGTTGTTCATAAAATCAATAAATGAAAGTGTGATTATTTTTTAATATTTTATTGTTTTGAACAGACGAAATAATTAATTTTTGATGAAGGCAAGTACCCAATTGGGAACAATATTTGCAACAACGTTACTTTTTCTTACAGAATCGTCGAGAACTTAAAGTTACAAGAAGTGCCTCACTTTTGGATGCCGGAGGTGCAATTTTCTTTAGCGTCAAATGTGTTGAAGCTCCATACTACACTTAGTAAAATGATGGTACACGGACAGTATTCACTTATGCGTAACCAGTCTAGGATTATTTACAATGCAAGAGAACAGGATCCGTTTAATGCGTCGCCATTTTTATTCCAACAAGTTCCAGACGTTGGGAGGATTATGTAAGTTTTAGAGAAGTTAGTACCTACTTAACCCTTTGAGTACCGTCATTATAGACACAATTAAAGAACACCGGTGTCCTCGCGGTGTTTGACAGTTTAAATACAAGTCATAGTTTGTACGTTTAAGGTATTAGTACCATTTAAAAGTTTAAGTAATAATGACATGGAAGTTTAAATTCCGGATAACGGACTTTAAAATAAAAGTATAGTGGTGGTCCGGAGGTTAAGACTGCTGACATGCTTCTCATGCATGAGGGTGCGGGTTCGAAACCTACCTACGACAAGTACCAATTTGACTTTTTTCGAGTTATATGTACTTTCTAAGATTATTCAGACGCTACTGACAAACGGTGAAGAAAACTTCGTGAGGAAGCCTGGCCTTATAATTTCTAATTATAACTTTGAAATCGTCAACCCACAAGGAGCAAGCGTGGTGATTAATGCTCAAACCTTCTTAGTGTGAGAAGAGGCTTTGCTCAGCAGTGGGAACTTATAGGCTGTAGATGATGACGATAATGAAAAAAAAATTAAACATCACGTAAATAATTTATGCAAAGATTGTTAAAAAAATATAAAGTTACACAGATTTTTATCATATTGTCTTCTAATTTATTCAGGTTTTCCATCGATGGTTGCGTACTTTCCGGGTTTGTTATTGCCACACTGAGCGGAGAATCAGTCAACCTAGGATACGGCCACTACAAATTAATAAAATGTGTTTACACTGTTGAGGTAACCAACATTTTTTTGTTCAAATAACAGAACCTATTTATTACATAGCCATACTATACAGCTTAAACACCTTTCGATAATAGTTACGATGAACTGTGCAGTTTTAAATGATTTGAATCTTCAAAACTGAACTGTACAACAGTGCTTTACACAGCTGCGATTTAACTGTACAGTCCAACTGTACAATTATTGTATCGATTATCGTAAGATGTGTAGCGGGCATTAGGTTACTAAGTGATTGTCAGAAAAAAACAATGGAGTTAATAATACGTTGTAGTAACACTTGTTGCTATTACAAAACTACAAGAAGTTCCCAAAGCCGCAGAACACAGCAGATACATGTATGTGTCTTAATTACGGTATTGTCATATAGAAGCCCGCCGCATTAGGACGCCACGGTGACGTCGAGAAAAACGTTCAAAATGGTGCTCTCAAACAAACAGACAAAGTCATTAATATAGATTTAAATATGTTATAGTATAGATATTATCATAACTTACTAAAAATATTGTTCGTCGAATTATCAATACTTAATAGCTAATTAATTGTTTTTCCACAAGATATACCGGCCAGGCGATCACTCACCTCCAGTTATCGCGCAGTATCAGCCCCAAAGAGATGATGTTTGGGGTAAGCATAAATATCAAAATTAAGTTTCAAATATATAATTATGAACAACTAAGGTACCTTAGAAATCGTATTATTAGTGTTTTTTTAGGGGGGGTAATCATCGAATGACTTCTCCCGCCTGGGTGAGTCGGGAGGGAATGTCAGACTCTTACTGACTAAAAACCACCCCGTTCCTACTCATTCATTTCGAACCGGAGCCCCGGTTCTCCGCGGCTCCGATTATTAGGGTTTAGGAGGGTGACAAGTGTGACAGTATCGTCATTTTATATAGAACTCATAACGGTTCAATTACAATCGTATTTATAATTTTACGGTAACATCTATTCAGATACATAAAATTAGAGTGTCTGTTTGCCTTTTACTACATGAACATGAATATACATACGATACACATAACAAAATAACTTTTTTTACAATTTATGTCTATCTGTCTGTTTGTACTGGGTCAATTTTGCAAGACTTTTGGCAGGAAGCTGATGTACTAAAGAGTAACTTATGCTACTTTCAAATACTTATGTTCTAAAATTCATATTCTACGCGAAAGATAATTAATTCATTTTGTCTCCTGCAGTAATTCACCGAGGGAAGTGGAAACTATCGTTTTTTTTCTTCTCCTCTTATAATATCTTCTGATCCACTTTGTTGCGGGAATCAAGACAGTTGTTCATGTCCCTGGGACGCGCCGGACTTCAGTGTTCCGATGTTTTCATGGTTGTATCTACTGTAGATCCTGGCTTACAGGAGTTGCAGCGGTCTTGGGACGTAGTGGCAGGTTTGTCCCGATAAAAAAAAATCTACGTGAACGAAGTCACGTGCACCAGTTAGTACTTATTATTATACAAGCAAAAAGTCGTACTTAACTTTATTTTACATATTTACTAGGGTCATATTGTAGGTTATGTTATTAAACTGCTATTAAGCCTTGCTCGGTGTGGCGCTGGGGATTAAGGTAAATGTACTCTTGCAAGGAATGCCTTGGTTGGCCAGGAAAATGAGTATAAAGGTTGAGAATGATGATGATTAGTATACAGAGGCAGACTGAAACTAGAGAGCGCCCTGCGTAAGCACCTCATAGGCGCCCTTACTTTTTTTTGGCAACACCGCCGCCTTTCTGTTGGCTGCTAGACACGCGTTTTATGTGGCGCCCTTGTGTAACCTGGCGCCTTTGACATAATATTGCCTTAGGCATAATACGGCTCTGTTTCTTTAAATGATTTCACTCAACAGGTCTTGGTATTAGAGATTTGCTGATCAAACCGATCAGAGACGACGTGGACGGAAAGTTACAAGCAGCTGTGTTAAGTTTCGTCAACACTTCCTCGTTGTTTGGCGACAAACTGCAGGGATATATGTGAGTACATATTTATTACTGACTATGCTATTCACGTTTCTGCTCGATTTTTATAGTTATAGCAACCCTTTCTATTACGTAACGTCCTCTGGTTGGTATTGATAATTTTTTTGACTTTTTATTTCCACTGCCTGACTCCTCCGCTGAGTGGTCGCACTTATGACCACTGCTGCTGCTGCCGGCGGCCCACGGGGGTCTCGGGTTCGATTCCCGGGTTGAGAAAATTATTAATGGTTTTCTTTAATTCTCAGTAGTAGCACGGAGCTTGGAATCATGCACAGTATATGGCAATAGGCTCACCCCCTACTAAATGGGAATTGGGACTTGTAACATAAATAGTGAAAAGTGGGCATTACATTGTACAGTGGCATCCACAATGTGTACCTCTGCCTACCCCTTCGGGGTTAAAGGTATTATGTATGTTGTATCATTCCCATTGCAGAGACGAGCAGAAGAAAATATTCTCAGAAACTGCGGCATTCTTAACAGAAATACACAGGAACTTGAACAAAATTACAATTCAGAAGAATAACGGGCAGGTTGCGTTGGGTAACCATTATGTTTTCTGGGATAACGGACGAGTAAGTATAAATAGAATATTATTACTTTGTACAAATTGACCTGCTTAGTTAGATATTTTGAAAAATATGATTGTAGATATTTTAAAATGTAAAAAATCTAGAATCTTAAAATACACATACTTGCTTTTTAAGAAAAAAATGTATGTATATAAGAGTATATGTATTAAGAGTTTCGACAATTCTCAACCAACATGATATCTGCAAAGATCTGCTCTCCATAAATCCCTTCCTAGCAATGAGGGATTGCGAAAATTTGGTACTTGCCCACTAGTCAAATTCAATACTAATCGAACTGTCAAAAACGACAGTTTTCTATGAGTTTTGTACGAGATTGTGTATTGTGACGTCACGTTTTTTTAGTGGCAACAGCATACTTATTTGTTAAAATTTTGCTGAAATAATACTAAAACTAAGTTGGGCATAAAATCAAGTAGTGAAAGTGTGATTATACATATTTTAATATTACATTGTATTGAACAGTCGAAACTACTGACTTCGACTGCCTCGTTGGCCGAGTGGTCGCAAGTGCAACTGTCGGGCAAGGGGTCTCGGGTTCGATTCCCAAGTATTGGTCGGCCAAGTATTACTGGGTTTTAAAAAAAAATCTCAGTAGTAGCACGGAGTCTGGAATTGTGCCCGGTATGGCAATAGGCTCACCCCCTATTACATGGGACTCATAACATAAATAGTGAAAAGTGGGTTTTATATTTTACATACAGTGGCATAATGTGAACCTCTGCCTACCCCTTCGGGGATAAAAGGCGTGATGTTATGTTATGTTATGTTATGTTTGAACAGTCGAAATTTATTTTTGATTAAGACAAGTAGGTACCCAATTATGGTTTTCATAATATGTCAAAATTATAAACGTAATGCTATGTTACATTGATTTTGTTGTTTTCAAAAAAGGCCGATTATATCGCTTCTACAAAGAAAAGCGTCGGTAATTCTGTGAGCTTAACGCGGATGGTGTTAACTGGGTTGGACACGATGTACTCAGCACATATCGGAGGACCTTACAAGATGGAGACCATGATGATTGCAGAGGAGATGCGGTACAGCACCTTACAGGTTGACCTCACGTTTTTTAATAGATATTAAGTAAAGCGTTAGACTATCATATATTGTAGAGGTATAAAAGTGTAAGTATTTTGGAGGAACTTGCTTGAGATATGCACATATTGTATCTGGATGCGAAGTAGATCGAGCTCATTAGCGTAGTAATGGAGAGGTTTTGATCCAGCTTCGGGCAAAAACGAGGTGATGATGATGTCATAGATAATGTGAATCATTTAATTTCTTAATATTTTTAATATCGTGGTGGCTCGGAGGCTTAAGACGCCCGCTTCTCACGCCTGAGGGTGCAGATTCAAAATCTACCAACGGCAAGTACCTATGTGACTTTTCCGAGTTATATGTACTTTCTAAGATTATCTAGACACCACTGAAAAACGGTGAAGGAAAACATCGGGAGGAAACGTGGGCACAATTCCTAGTTATAAGTTTGTAATCGCAAACCCGCGTTGAGCAAGCGTGGTGATTAATACTCAAACCTTCTCTGTGTGAGGCTTTGGTCAGCAGTGGGTATTTAAGTATAGGCTGTTGATGATCAATATTTTTTATATTATAGGCACACGGTCACTTCGAATTACCATTAATGAAAGGGAAAACGCCAACTCGATTTGCATTTTCAACGGAAATAAATGATTTGGCCGTAAATCTCCAAATGGACGTTCGGTTAGATAAAAGTAATAAAGATAAAACGTCTGTTTTGCAAGGCTGTTCCTACAAAATCCTCCAAGTTACAGGATTCAGGTATTAATTGCAAATAGTTTCTAATCCTAAGTGCAAAACTATAAATTAACATAGGTTTACATGTTTTTATTTTACTTTCACACAAGAATTACTGAACAGAATGGGGATACCGTAGTTTGGCTCACTTGATGGCGTAAATGTGGGAAGCGGCTTTTTGTCCAATCACAGCAACAACAGCAAAGTATTACTGGGTTTTTAAAAATCCCAGTTGTAGCACGGAGTCTGGAAATGTGCCCGGTATATGGCAATAGGCTCACCCCCTATTACATGGGAGACATAACATAAATAGTGAAAAGTGGGTGTTACATAGTACAGTCACATTAAATGCCGTAATGTGCACATCTGCCTACCCCTTCGGGGATAACAGGCGTGATGTTATGTTGTGTTATGTCACAGCAGCTGTCAAATATTGAACGTCTGATGGCGAGCTATTAGCTAATTCCCTATTGGATAAAGAACGAGTTGTTCACATTAGCAAAACTACGGTAGACCCCATTGGATCAAAGGCGTGGACATAGATTATAGTCGGAAACAACACTTGAGTTACTGTTATTCCGATAACATAGTTGAAGCTGCTGGTAGAAACTAATACTAAAAACTAAATGTGCAAAACAAATTTTCAAAAGTTCCAAGTGTGGGAGACCCATGCTTCAGTACGAATGGGCCGGCTCGGCCAGAGTGATACCACGGCCTCAAAGAAAACGGACGTGAAACAACGCTTGCGTGGTGTTTCGTCGTGTGAGTGAGGTTAAAGGAGGCCCAATTACCCACCATCCCTAGTCTTCCCAATCCCCGATTCCCGCACAATCCTCAAATTCCTAACTCCCAAAAGGCCGCTAACGCACTTGTAACGCCTCTGATGTTTCGGGTGTCCATAGGCGACGCCCATCGCTTACCACCAGGTGATCCGCTGAAATTTTTTTTATCCACTACATTACACTACACTCACCTGACGGTAAGCAATCAGCAGCGCTGTAAGTAACAAAAGAGATTTTACAAATAACGATATCATCTTTTCTCCGACAGATTGGTTGATAGCGATACGTAATGGTGTTGAAATCATTATAATACTTACACGTTAATTTTAGACGAATGATATCCAGGCTGTCATCTCGCATGCACGGCTCAGTGGAAAGCATGATATATGGCTACTTGTTGAATGAGGTGCCAAAAGTCATCAGGGTTCATTTGAAGGCCATCTTACGTAAGGCCTTACTTCCACCCACGACCACGACACCACCACCCGCAACAGGCAAAGATGGCAATGGTGAGTTAAAAACGAATAACGGTAAAATGGGGTGAATAAGGATCGAGAGGTGAATAGAGACAAGAGAGGTGAATCGATACTATGGAGATTTTCCCAATATCTATTCCGACGAATGGGGTGAATAGACCCCATTTTACGGTAGTTTATTTCCATAAAACTAAAAACGCTCTTTTAAACTTTGCATATCCGAATGTTTGATGGTCAACCGTTTACTGAAATTACTTCTTTGTTCTTAAGTTTCGATCAAAATCGATGTTCCAAAGCGGTTCTTATCATACTGAGCCACTTTTGAATCAATTTGAAAAATATTCTTTAATTTAAATGAGTTGTGGGCACCGTAATAGTAAATCATTGTGTCATGGTATGTCGGTACATACCTATAATGACCGTTTTTACCAACCTCTCTAAACCATTAACTTAGAATTACTTAGCGAAAAAAGCTCCTAAATTAACTCCTTAACGGTACCGTTAGGTGTCACTTATAGGTTGGTGAAAACCAAAATGTCATTAAATTAAGGTTGACCACTATCTAAACTTAGGGATTCCTTAAAATTTAAGATAGGCTGGTGAAACCGGGCATAAATGTCTCAAATCTGCATTGAAATGGGCAGTAGGTACGTCAGAAAACATGGACCATTTTTACGTATTTATTACTATTAAAATGTTGTGTTCATTGTAAAACATTTTTATTTCAGGTTTTCACAGACCTGCAGCAGAATGTTCAGAGGGAGATGATGACGTATACCAAAGAGCCGAGTCAAATGTCCCATCTAACAAACGTAATGTAAAATCACCGAAGAAAAGGCAACTTGCAAAGGAGTATGCAACGGAAGTGAAGAACGAAGAGTGGACATCAAATTAATATCCACCACCCGCAATTTGAGGACTAACGAGAAGATTGTTTAGCTTTAAGAAAAATGGATACGTGGCACTGGAATATCAAGGGGGTATGAGAAGTCCGACGGGAAGACTATTACAACCAAACTGGAGCAAACGAACTCCGCTCGTTGATATAGTCTAGCCCATTAGCTGACGTGGCAATAGGCGGTAGAAAGGATAGAAAAGTTCTAAAATGAATGTCACTAAAACTGTAACTAGCGCTATATTAATTGTTATTTAAGAAATTTAATGTGAGATCAATATTTTTTTTTTAATTTGCACAGGTATCCCGTTTGTACAGTTTGCGAATAATAAATAAATATGGATTTTGAACAAAAACAGTATCCATTGTATTTGTTCAACATCATTGAGGCATATTTTTTGTAATCATTGGTCGGTACTAATGAACCATTGGTTGATTAGAGACCAGAAACCATTAACCAGTGACCAAACAGTAAGCATGTAATGTACTGAACTGTACTGAATCAATTTTTATTTTCGTAACTTCATGTCAAATAACTGTGTTTTTTGTTTTATTTGTATTGTAACTTTCGTGAGACATACTAAATAAATTATTATGTTTTCGGCTTACTCACGTAATAATTTGACGAAGAACTCGACTAGTTTCAAGCCATGCTAGAGGCTCACATTCATGAGCAGCATTCCGCGACCCGCGACGCGGCGACTGTCGCGCTGCTGTTCACATTATTATCGAGTTCTTCGTCGAATTATTATGTGAGTAAGCCGAAAACATAATATTGTTTTTTTTTAGTTGATTGACTTGCCTGCCTCGTTTGTCGAGTGGTCGCAAGTGCGACTGCCGAGCAAGGGGTCTCGGGTTCGATTCCCGGGTCGGGCAAAGTATTATTACTGGGTTTTTAAGTAACTCTCAGTAGTAGCACGGAGTCTCGGATTGTGCCCGGTATATGGCAACAGGCTCAACCCCTATTACATAAGACTTATAACATAAATAGTGAAAGGTGGGTATTATATTGTACAGTGGCATAATGTGCACTTCTGGCGACCCCTTCGGGGATAAAAGCCGTGATGCATATTATCAAATAATCGGCTGTCTGTCCATTATAATTATGAATACTCTAAACCTGGTGTGCCACCTCGGAATAGTGATGTAGTATGAACAGTAAATAAATATAAATTAAGTTGAACATTTTTTACAAATTCAACTGCTAATTAACTTATAAATATGTAACAGTACGGGAGCTAGCAACGTTTGGAAAGTAAGAATTTTAGGTCAGCTGATTTTGTGATATGTCGTCCTTCTTGCACTTTCGGTTAGAGTCTGGACTATCTGGCTGGCGGTAGCGGTTGCGTTCTTTAGTGCGCATCCTACCTGCCCAGGTAATAATCCTGGATTTTAAAAACATTTTAGAAGGCGTAATTTTTAATTTTTTGTTTTTAAATAAGTGTACCTGAAATACTTTTTTTATTGCCAGACATTTTTGACAATGCTATGTGCCATACGCGATTTTTTTAATTTGTTTTATTAAAATTTCAAAGTTATTTATAATGTCTGTAATTTTAATATTATGTTATTTAAAGACAAAAAACTTAAAATAAATTTGCCAGACATTAATTCGATTGTTAAGTCTTGAATTAAAATGAAAAAGTCATGAAAAGTATTGCAGTATAATGCTAGTAGTCCGACAGAGACAGCTGAAGGTGCGAGAGAGATAGACAACGACTGTGGCGCGACAGGCAAGTTTGCAAGATGGCGTCAGTCTAATGTCACATGTTTATTTTTGTTTTGATTTTAATGTTTATTTTTTAATACTTTGAAATTTTAATAAAACAAATTAAAAAAATCGCGTATGGCACATAGCATTGTCAAAAATGTCTGGCAATAAAAAAAGTATTTCAGGTAGACTTATTTAAAAACAAAAAATTAAAAATTACGCCTTCTAAAATGTTTTTAAAAACCTGGGCAGGTAGGATGCGCACTAAAGAACGCAACCGCTACCGCCAGCCAGATAGTCCAGACTCTAACCGAAGGTACAAGAAGGATGACATATCACAAAATCAGCTGACCTAAAATTCTTTCTCGAAAACGTTGCTAGCTCTTATACCATAATGCTAATAATAATTTCTAAACAAGCTGAATTTTATTTTGTTTCTAAAATGATGATCTGAAGATATTTCGGTGGCAACATAGTGTTCAAGAAGTTTTGGGGCTCATCAATCTGTAATCAAATTAAATTATTTCCAATGAACTGATAATTTTGTTCCAGTAGTTTATATTAAACCTTTTTACTTACTATTTGTTTTCTTCTATTTTGATTGAAACTCTGCATGAACAGTTACAGTCCTTCAACAACTTTAGTACCGGTTTAGTATTTATTCTAAAACTCTTTTAGTCTTGATATAAAATGATCAACCAATAAACAGAGTATTAGTACTATACTAGAGATAGTTATCCACGAATAAATTTAAACTACAAAATAATGTTTACTGTGATATGCTAAGCGATGTGTATCAAAGTCTATTTTTATTTTCTTTAATTTTTCCCTTTTCGACATACCATCCGTGAGTCACTGCAGGGTGCCATCCGAAAACCAGCATTGAGTGTTACCACGCTCAACATAATGCTGAGGTGGACGCCCGTTCGGCATGGGCATGCATCTATTTTTGCCAAATTTGAGGTATCTATTTTATTATTATAATTTTTTTTTTATTTACATACCTACCTATTATTTTTTTTTGTCTACATCTCTGTGCATGCAATGTGCCAAATAAATGTTTTTCTTTCTTTCAAGGTAGTAATTTTTCGGCATTTACGTAAAAGTGGTATAATTTTAAAACCGTACAAATTCGCTGAACAAACAGGGTTCTTGGCGCATGGACATTGGACCGACACAATACTCTACACTCGTATCTTTGTTTTCATTTCACCTTATAACTCTCGACGAATTGTATAAACCTAATATAGGCTTGCACTAGGTGTGAGTACCTATATTATTCCAAAAAAACGTCTAGTGAATAACAATTGATTTCATTTAGATTCAAAATGATTTGATAGCAGCCACAAATGGGTCGAATATAATTATATCATGGAGAAGGTTTGCTATTACGTTGTTGTGTATTTAGGATCCCTTACGTTGCTAGTAGGTGTCATTAAGTAGCAGTAATATGTATGTGTGCCATTAACGCTCTATTTTTATCTACCATTGTAGCAAGAGTACACCACTGTGCTAATTAATTTTAAGGAAATAAGTATGCTATTTGACGCAGAAATATGATTACGTCATTAGTTTCGATCCAATACAAAATTTATAGAAGAGTATCGTTTTTGACATTTCAATAAAAGTATTGAATTTCAACTACCTGTCAACTACCGTATTGTGTGTATGTCTATTAACCGTATTTCAGTTATAGCTGTCACACTTATCCCCATAGATATAACAAAAGCGTATCACTAAAAGTTACAGAAATAAGAAAAAGAGAAAGTACGATTATTTCAGTTTTATTACCTAAAAATGTCACAAATAAATAGTGGGTTCGATAGTGTATGAAGGATAGTTCACAAGTCCACTTTACATATTCACTTTCTATTAACCAGCTTCTGCGGCTATACAGGTTTGTAGACAACATTATCCTCATCCACATCTTCTGGCTCTTCAGCGATGACGGCTTTCGCAGTCGTCCCCCACACTCGCATTGGCACGTAACTGTGAAATTAGTCCATAGAATTATTCAAATTATTAATTAATAACTACCATTTGTTGTTTATATTTTTTAACTGACCCAAAGTCACCCATTATTTTCGCAAATATAGGTACATGTATTGCTGCTCAGTTACCTGATTTATACGACTTATCTATTTATTTTTTAAGGAAGGAAAATCATCGAAAGTCTTCTCTCGCCTGTGTGAGGTGGGAGGGTCAGACTAAAAACCACACCATTCCTAATCCTGCACTTCGAGCTGGAGCTCCGAGTCTTGGTAACCCGTTAAATTCTCCGGGGGTCATTTATATGACTGGATTAATATATTAATTATTATTTTAGTCTTATGTTACTCTTACTTGTCAGGTAGTACTTGATTAATAGTACTGGTAGTACTAGTACGACGTAGTAAAGTACCTAGGTACTTTACGAGTCTTTTACCTTTTATGGAAATCATCACGTTGCTTGGCATCTGAGGACTCTTTCGACTGATCCTTAAGGCCGATAATGGATACTGAATCCAAAGACTTATCAGGGGCTGGGAACAAATTCTCAGGCATATCTGTATGCCTGTTTCTCGAAGTGTGATCTTGAATGGGTTGGAAGTTTCTCATCATTATTTCTGAAGAACCACTTCGCCAGGAGACAGTCGGTATCATGGGGTTCGGCATGATAGATATAACAGGAGTATCAGGAGATGGCCTATAAAGAGAACCCGGTTGATCCTGGAATAGATAATAACGATAAGAATAATTTCTTCTAATGTGCAAAATGACTACTTTCTTTTTATGGCATGCATTGAGACAGAAGATTATGCTTGCTTGTAATTGGGATGATGACAGGGTATGAAAATTAAAAATATGATTAGTCCGTAAGTTAGGTAATGAAAAAATATTAGACACGTATTTTTTTATTTTGTCGTAAATTAAAACAATACTTAGATAAAACGAATCAAACTTTAGGAGTGGGGGATAACACGTCATTTCTACGTATAAAATGTACACAGAAGTGACGTCACGCGACATTTCAAATCAATATATCGTCGAAGGTATTCGTTTCTGTAATACAACAAAAAATACGTGTCTAATCATTTAAAATAATCTACCAGACGGACATTAAAATAAAAATTAGGCATCTACCCAATTGCATTTCGGAATCGCTTTATATGGGACAATAGCCTATGTAAGCTAATTTGTATAGGGCATACTATAAAAAGCAAACCCTATGTATAGTCCATTCACTTCTGCATTAGAAAAAAGAGGTTCATAGAAGTAGGAGTGCACAATATTTATTTTATTTAATGAATTCAAACTATTTTCATTAAAGGTAGTAAATAAAAGCTCCGACAAGAAAAGAAGAATTGTCCTTACTGAAAATATTAAATCTACAGCCTAAAATTCTAACTTTCCGACTACTTTACATGACTTTTTATTACTACAATACTAACCTAACCTAACCTAAAACGTCTGTTGTCGGTAACTTAGTAATTTTGTCGGAGGTTCTATATTCTATTCGGAAGTTTAGTTTTGTTATTCGAAGATCCATTTTTATAGTCGGCCACAGATCGCTGGAGATTAATTTGTTTTTCGGAACCATTATTATTTTCCTTTCATTAATAATGATTTCAAAATAAAGCATCATCTAAACTTAGATTTTGAAAATTATAAGGTAAATACTAAACAGATGGATCGGTAAATGAATTAGATGTTGTTTTAAATGTATATAACTTTAATTACAAACAATAAAAAAAATTAAACGCTTTATCAAATGACATAAATTACACAAAATACAGGGCAATGATGATTAGTTTATGTAGTATTATGAATAATGTTACAAGTACTACAGACCCCGCTTCTTCTAGGCTTTTGGCATGGGCACTTGTATTGTCTATAAGCATTGATTTAAGTAAATTTTAATGTATTCGCATATTATTCTGATCACAACTTTTCACACACATACACAAACGTATTCTGCAGAACTGAACGCTCAACTATATTGTGCTGAGGTGGAGGCCCTTTTGGCCTGGTCAAGCGCACTTGGAGGCACTTTATTATTATTATTATATCTCGTTCTTTGTTTTATATTTATATATATATATTTTGTTTTTTGTTTCGGTTATTAGTGTAATCTATATAATTTGTTATGCTTTAATGATTTTTGTTCATTTCTTTTCTCTTTTAAGTCTATTATTAATGTTTTGTTTTGATATAGGTACCTGTATTTTTATTTCTATTTTAATGATCCTTGTTTTCGTGTGCCAATGACCAAATAAATACATTTTCTTACTTTCATTCTAAATCTTTAAATAAGTAATAGTTCCATTGATATAAACATATAGATGTGAAATACCTTAGTAAGAACTGACTTTGACTCTGGTATTATAATCGACAACACTGTATATTGGAGAATTGGGAGTCATTAAAGAAAAAAAAACAAAATATAAGAACTGTCAAACCACAATACAATACATACGTGCTAGTTCAGTAATGTGGTAGTTATGACTGGAAGGTTTTCTGGGAGTGTAGAAAATTCGCAATTTATTAGCAAAAGCTGCGATAAATTGCCAGCATAAATTGTAGAAAAAAGTTATTAGTTTAATTTTGTACATAACGTTTTTCTCGTAAAAGAGGAATAGAGATATTGTAAAAAATCTGTTTTAAGCCGTTATTTTTCCAAGATTGCAAATTAAAAATTTGAAAATTGCAAAGTAAATCGAAAAAAAACACATTATATTCTACAAAATTGCCAATGTTCACACTCCCGGAAAACTAACCTCCGTATTTCCGCCTTCATGATCGAACCTGAAACCTCCTTGAAATTATTTGTCACTTTTATAATAAAGTGTACCCAAAAATAAGTTTTTTGATTTCCCTCTAATGCTATTGTGAATAGACTATATATAGGTTTTCAAAAATATTTATATTTACCTGCATTGGTGACAGCAGAGGAATAATTTGTTCCGGAGGACGCTGTTCTCGACTGGATGATTCCCGACTAAGTTGTTGTCGAATAGGTGGTTGTTGTAGTTGTTGATTTTGCTGAATACTTTGAATAGGGACTGGAGTAGCCCCATTTTGGGCTTCTGCCCTTTTGTTTGGATTGTACCTCGTCAAGATCTCTGCATACTTTCTCGTATCCTGGGTTTTTAGCCATGTGTCAGCTAGAGGCTTGCTCTCTGCTGGAGGTCTATGATCTTCATAGTCATTAGCGGTTCCATTAAATACTGTGAAGATATAAAGTTGTGAATACCAAGTGATAATATTTAGTTCTCTAGGGCAAGAGCAAAAGTCAATGATCAAATTATATTACAATTGTTTTAACTTTGTTATTGAATAGGAGGCAAACATGGAGAGCGATCACCTGATGGTAAGCGATGAGCTTCGCCTATAGACACCTACAAAACTAGAGGAGTCATAGGACCGTTGCCGACCTTTTAAGAAGGAATATGCTCTTTTTTCGAAGGTTTGAGGGTCGTATCGGTTCGGAAATACTGCTGACGGCTGATCATTTTACGGTTTACTATATTTGTTAGAAAGTTACAAGAAAAATGCATAGTTGTTGCCTGCCAAGCAACTAGCATGAGAATGGCAGCACTATAATAAAACCAATAAAATTATGAGTACTTACAGTCTTCTTCATTACCACCAGCTCTTCTAAGATCTTGATTTGGTGGCTGAGTTGCTGGCTTCAATTCCAAATTGGCAAATGGAGAGAATCTACCTCGCCTCATATAAACAGTGACATCATGGCCTGGGATAAATACATTCATAATGTTACACTATTGTAGCAGTAAATAAGTCGAAAATCCATTGTCGAAAGACAGCTAGCGATAGTTGTCACGATTTCAATAAATACATATTTAGTTGTTCATTGAATGACGGCCGTCCAACGAGCCAGTAGATACGTACGTGTGAATGTGAGCCACTCGGCCATTGAGTAGTTGTACCCATAGGCGATGCCAGTGACTACGGCGACACCCAGCCCGAAGGAAATCGCTATACACAGAAGGCACGATAGGAAGAAGGAAATTAACCTGAAATTTTCATACAGTTACGATCACTTTATTATATTATCTAGTGGTAATATAAAAACACAAAAGATACCCTTCTTATAATCGGGTTTAAAGAAATAGTGAAACCAGTTCAGCTGTTAATACCTTTTTTTTTTTTTTTTTTTTTTTTTTTTTTTTTTTTTTTTTTTTTTGAGGGGGGAAAATCATCCAATGACTTCTCCCGCCTGGGTGAGGCGGGAGGGAGTGTCAGACTCTTACTGACTAAAAACCACCCCGTTCCTACTCCTGCACTTCGAGCCGGAGCCCCGGCAACCCGTTAAGTCTTCCGCGGCTCCGTATCGGCATCAGCCTTGTTAGGCCCCATCTGTGGTGGTCTGATGGCTCCTTGAGGCGCGCGCGGAACGCGACGCGCCGTACGCTCGGGCCTGGTTCTGGTCGGGCGGCGAGTCACCCATGCTCGCCGTCCGCAGGCCCGTGCTTACGGTGGCGGAGATCGTCTCGCGATCCCCGACGCCGGAGTGTCTCTCGCGACGGCGGGTCGTGAGGAGGTTCGTTCCCTCACGCGCTCCGCCTCCTCCTTAGCTAGCATGACTGCTTCGCAGAAGGAGGAGACGGCATCCCAGTCCCCCTCGCTCCGTACCATGGTCTGAACCAGAGCCGGACGCGAGAGGTCGCCGTCGCCGATCACATTTCTGAGGACACGGCGGTGCTCAGTCCACGCAGGACACACCGCCACCGTATGCTCCACCGTGTCCTCCGGACGATCCTCGCAGTGATGACACCCGGGCGTTTCCTCCCGCCCAATCCGAAACAGGAACCTACCGAAACTTCCGTGTCCGGTAAGCACCTGCGTCAGGCGGTAGGTGAGGACGCCGTAGCGTCTCTCAAGCCACTCCTCAAAGAGGGGACTTAAGCTGTTAATACCTGATGTGATGATTAACACAAATAAAAACTTATCTATACTTTATTTATTTAAGGAGGATGAAGTTGCGGGAAGCCAGTGGATGCAGGTGCAGTGCGGTGCAGTAGAGTTGTCGTTCGACGTGGAAGACCAAGCCTTCGTCCAGCAGTGGACGGCCTCTGGCTGTTGATGTTGATGAATATACAATAATATATTTTTTTTTTTTGTTGGATAGTGCATTTATCGAAGAAGGTTAATTGGCTTATAAAACATCAAGCTGCGATCACAAGGAGGCGAGCAGAGCGCTGAGTGGGTGAAACCACACGTAAATAGCTAGTTTGTATAATTATATATGTAGGTTGCAATATGGAGAAAACTAACTTTAATTGAATGTCTTAATAACTAGCTTACACTACTTACTTATAGGGCGAGGTGTCACACACTACAAGGTATATACATATGAATATAATAATATGTATCACTGCAATAGTAGTTTCTATAGCCTTCAAGAAAAGGAGGAGATTCGGATGTTCGGATATCTGTTTTTCTTTGGTTGACTTCTTATCTATCAATGCCTATAACAATACTAGTTACACTATAATAATAAGTACCTAATAGTGATGTTTTGCTTATTATTTTTGTTTGTTTTTAATTTATAGTTTTTGAAATCGGTTTTTTTTAATTCTAATTATCTTTTTCTTCGGTGATTAGCCGTTACAAGTGAAAACATTATAAAACATTGACTGACGACAGAGCCCGACAGAATTCACCAACTGGGTCGACCTCAGCGGGACTATTTAGAATACTAAAATCTTTAAATGAATAGTCTTGCAGCACTTTGGCGAATCGGGAATATAACTTTGCACCTTTCATTTGTGGCTTATGCCTTGAATATTAAATGCTCACCCATTTATACAATACTAACATCTGTCAACGGTTTCACCCGCGTTCCCGTGATAAAAAAGTAGTTAGTGTTATTGTAGACTATAATTTACCCCAGTTCTATATTTTAGTTCGATCCTTCAGCTGTTTTCATGTGAAGGACAAACAAACAAAGTTATACCTTACGATTAGACCTTAGATTTCACGATTGTACTGTACAGTTCAATCGTGAAATGTGCATTACTATTGCATACCTTATTACTAGTTAATAAATATTTAGTAATTTCTTTGACTACCTTAGTTAAAAGTTGATTAAAAGAATAAAATAAAGTTCAGTACTTAGTATCAGAGGACTTAGTACAAGTTTATTTCACGTTTAAAGTAATCGAAACGAGTACGTGTTCGGCGCTCTGATTGGCCGGCTCCAATTAACCAACCAATCGACAACTATTATTATTGTTCACTTAAACCCGTTATCTACAATACCAAAAACAATTGATACACGCCACATTAATTATTGGTACTTTTGATTTGTTTCTTTTTTTATGGGGCTTTAAGTCGAATCAGTGAAAAATAAAAATAGTTATGGTTATTAATTAGGCAAAGAAGGCCGAACTGGAAAATTACCATTTACCCAACAAGTATTCATAACAATTTAATAGGTTTGACTTGTATTTATTTACACAATTCAACTGAAGATATCAATTTTAGCTTCGAGTGACATATTTATCCAAAGTCGGTCCTTTATGACATACATATTATGCAAGGTCGCTCCTTTCCGACATTTGCAAACAATAAATATCCATTTAAAGTATTCAGTAGGTACTACACAAGTCCATCAAGTTAATTTTTTATTATCTAACATCTGTAGGACGAGGTTGGCACGCAATTTGATTCAACCCAGGCCGGTTAAATTTTCCTGATTATTTTTCATACGTCTGACCTGCTCGACTATTACGTAAATTATGTATTTTATATTTTAGGTACTTTATGGATAAATGTGATTTTGTTTTGTTACGTACTTATGAGAATGGTAATGGTGGAGTTGTTAATTCTAGTGTCGAGTTACAAAAAATAATAAAAAAAAATCGTTTATTTGCAAAAACGGCAGCTGTAGCCAAATGCCATATAGCGCTTGTCTACATGTAGAATAGAAAACCAAATTATATGGAATTGACGTAAATTTTGACACTTGTCAGTGTGTGAGCATGTCCCCATACATTTTGATTTCTACTCTCTCTGTAGACAAGCGCTAAAGTGGCGTTTGGCTAAAGGCCCATTAGGCTACCTAGGCTAAGGATTACGGAACCTATAAATTGTGATTGGAGCCTCCCTTTAAGCAAGATATACCTGTGTTAGGAAACTTCGCTCTTTCACAACAAGACGTACATAGTAAACTTATATAAATACAAACATGTAGGTACATGATTGTACAAAGATATGTGCTTCATTTTGGTTCGTCTACTGAAAGAATAGGTAAAGGCAAATTTTACGAATATTTTTGATAGATAAATTGCTAAGCTAGAACAACCATTTCTTCATAATCGCAGTTTTATGCATATGCCTATCATGTTACTGATGCCATTGAGTTGAGACCGTACATTCATGCGCTGCCAACAACGTAGGTAGGTACTGTCAAATTCAATTGATGTATGGACGTTTGTGCGCATTGAATTTGCTTCTTACAAAGCGAAGATCAATGAACGATGACCACTTGACAAATTATGTGCAAGCAATGAAGCATGACGTCAAACCCTTGCCGATCCTTATACCAGCTGCTCACATCATATTATATGTGATTCATTAAACTTTGATGTCAATTAAAATGTTTGTCATTTGCTGGTCTCAGTTTAATTCTACAGTGTAATCCGTAATATTGTTTATTGTCAAAATACAGAATACTGGCAAACTGCAACTACTTAGAACAAGGACAGGAAGAAATAAAAACCCGATGGAAAATTCCAACTAAATAATACTTTGTAGTTTTTTATCCCAATCTGCATTTTAAGCAGGTATATCATTTTTTGTGAGGTAGAATGTACTTGTTAAGTATCTACCTACCACAAAACCTGACCGTCAATATTAATTAAAATATTTTATTAAACAGAAAATATTTAAGTTATTTTACCTGTATCAAAACGCCACAAAAAGGGCAAGCTATTCCCATTTTTTGATTATTTAAAACACTGAGAAGATTATAAAAGAGCTTTATTTTTGCCATTCCGTTTGTTCTTGATCTACGAGGAAGTGTTTTTGTTATTTTTTTTTGAGTTTTAATGACAATTTAATAATTTTCAAAATTTTTTAAGAACGATTCTCCTGTGCTTTGTGACGATATGATTGCAAACATTGGGCCAACGACAAAATTAGGGGTGCGAGTTTAAATAAAAACTTAGTTAAGTTAAAACATCGAGATGACGATACTTGGGTACCTATACATAATGTTAAAATAAAAAAAGATAAACAAAAAAAAAACAAAGTTCATAATTGAAAACTGGGTAGCTAAGATTTCTGAACATTATAAAACAGATAAAAACCCGTTGCTCCATTTAAGGCCAAAACAAACGACGATCAACACAAAGAGTATTAATCGGTAACTTCAACAATATATTCGCTTCGGAGCATGGAGAATAAAAATCCCAAACTTTCCCGAAGTCAATTTCTTGTATGGAAAACGTGCTGGAAATTCGTCCACTTTTGTGAACCTGTCCCTTGGGACTTTACCAACGGCAGCTAGCTACATATACGTGTCGATAGGGTCGTTTTTTACCTTCGTCTAGAGTTCGATGAGGCGATCCCATGGGGAATCAAGAGCTAATTATACTCCAGATACGGTTCCGTAAAAGATTGGAAACTTTATGTCTTATGTGACTTATCCGCACTTTGGTATATGAAAATTTGTTGTTTACAATTATAAAATGACACTGTCTTAGGATAAAGTAATGCTGACCTTATTTATATTATAACTTTAATGAGACATACTAAATAAATTATTATGTTTTCGGCTTACTCACGTAATTATTTGACGAGGAACTCGACTAGTTTCAAGCCATGACAGTAAAGTTAAGTAACTTAGCCGAAAATATAATAATTAATTGAATGCTGACTTTCTTGGAATGCCTGAATGAATGTTATGGAACATGGTAACCTGATATGCAAAGAACTATAATAAGGATTTTAGTATATGACATCTGTAGTTTCAGTTTATCACGCTGATTATATTATGCACGTAATAGACGTCTGACTTTTGGAAGTTAAAATGTATGTGAATTAAAAATTATTTCAGAAAGAAAATACCAAGATTTCTCTTTCGGGTTAAAATCCGACGTAAAGTTGAATTCGGTTAAAGCCGTTTACTTGAAAAAAAGTGCAATGAACTACATATTTCCTTCAAACATTATAAGGGATTAAAATGTTGCCGGCAAGAATATGTACTTATTCAATAACGTAATATTTAATGTGTGTTACCTCTGTATGAAGTCTATCCCCCATGCGAAGCAACTGAATATATAGCACATAACAAATCGTCAATCAGCTCAGCAGGTATCAGGATACCATCACTCGTGTCTAGTCGCTCTTGTCTTCCCAAAACTGAAATTATTTAACTATTAGTCGCCAGAGTAATGGCAGGGTAGAAGACGTTTGTTACCATCTTTCTTCTTTTCGTGGGTGTGACAGCCAACTAAGAGATTATCTTATAGCGACTGAACAATACCGCTCTCTGATGAACCTATGATCTCCAACCCGCTTGGAAAAAAACGTCGTGTTCGTTGTGATTCCTATCTATCTACTCTTACTGTCAAGTATTTTCAATAAATTTTTGACATTATTGCAAAATGACAAAGTTGGAATTCCAGCATAGAAATTTGAGAAAGTGATGTAGGTTTTGTTCCTTGTTTTTAAGCTTCGAGTTTCCAGCAGGTAACTGTTTGCGAAATTGAGGTTTCTTACACCTTTTATTTATTCGTAGCAACGTTTGTTCGAAGCCCAAAGAATGCCAAAGTTCCGTTCACCAGCGTTGTCAAAGGTTGCGACACCGACACGTGCCTCGAGGGCCGACGCTTTGTAAGTGACAACAATTTTAAATAAATCATGCATGGAGACCCTGGCCGTACTACGCTTGTGTAAAATTACTCATTTCGTATGCTCCTGCCGTGTGGAGACGCGACTAAACACATTTCTTATACCTATTTGAATAACAAATCTTGTCCAAAATAAATTCGTAGACACTTATAGAGACCGAACACTTTTTCTAGCGAACCAACTTCTGATCAATTTAAGTATAAATCGCTTATCACAGTCACTTGTAGCTAATTCATCACATTATTCATGGAGTTTCGTCTCTCGTTCAATTTTTCACAAAAAATGTAAATTCCTATCCTCGTTAGCACATTTTTGTTGGACAAAGTGACGGCACTTTTTTCTTCTTGTATAGCTTTTTATGACACAAATACAACATAACTACACTATTATTCGATTTTGTTGTTTTGGTCCTAATTTTATGTACCTACTATCTGCGCTCGACCCACCTCTAGTCAGCACCCCATCTTTTGCAAACAATTGACCAAATCATTAGACAGACTTTGTCCCTAATTTTCAATGTGGCTCTCGACGACCGAGCTTCGACACAAGCTACTCTGCTTGTCCGCATGGATGGGCTTGGCGTCCGTAAAACTTCCAGTGTAAGCCTATCGGCTTTCATAACATCCGGCCATGGTACTGAAGAAAAATTGTTTCTCAATCGCTGGTTAATTTTGATGTACCATGGTTAATGGTTAGTGAAAGCTGCGAATGCGTGGAAAATCGCTTGCCCAAATATTGACCCTCCCGTCAAATCACTCTCCCAGTGACAATTAGACGAGCCGCTCTGCAGCATTGCCATTGAACATGGCAACGCCAGTCTTTTGGGCACCCTACCTCACGATAGCGATGAGGAAAATTTTTTTAAGCCTTAAGCGGATATAATCTTCAAATATAATTATTATATTGAAGGTTATTTTAATATATTAGATTTTAATTATTTGTATTTACTTACCAAAGTAAAGAAAATAATATACATTTAAAAATAAAAATTTATAATTACACAAAACTATAACAGACTACAAATATTTATTTAAAAAATATTGTGACAACTTGGTATCTTCAAATTCAAAAACGACACAACCTGTCATAATGGCAAGACGACAGCAAGAAGATGTAATTAAAAAAATGCGTTCGTAATCGGAACGCATAATTCTAATTTCAGGGTAAAAAGGTTCTAATTCGAATTTCAGTGAAAGAACAGACAACAACTACTGGACTGAAATTCTATATTATTACGTAGATAATAGGAAACTTAAATAATGGAAAAAGTACCTACTTATTCTGAAAACATAATAAAATCAATTTTAAATAAAACAATAGATAACTGATAACTGAATTTCCAGAATTAATGAGTGAGCTTTTTACAATGAAGCCATAAACAATTCGGAAATGTAGGTACGTAGAGAGCAGCGAGGTACAGATTATAACATTTAAAACCATTATTCAATATTCGAGTATTATGAAATGTTAAAATGATTTTTAAAATCGCGACGTGTGTAGTTCCCGTTGTATTTCTGGCCAGTAGCACTCGGTGTTTCACAGCGGGTGCCCGCGCCGCCCGCCCATCGCAGCTACACTCTCGCGGGCATGTCGCTGACGTACAACAAATAAAGTTTCAACTTTTTCTCAAATAAAGTGAACTAAATCAGTGTTTAGTGTGACTGTTGTGTGTTAAACTGGAGTTCCGTGGATTTTCTCAGTTTTTATACTTAAGGTAATTTAAATTTGTAGAGGTCGTTAAGTTTCCCCTTCATTTTAGAGCCGTCAAACTGTCGACACCGCGTTAGTCTTAATGGAGACCAGTAGATTATAAATTGGCTCCTTGGTGGCACCTCGTCCATTATAAATGGGTGTTACAAATTATTACAAGACCGGCTATATATTAGGAAAGGTTCGAACTTTCCAATAATTAGTTCGCTCAGCTATTTATGAGATGGTAGTTAAGAATATTTAAAAAAGTATGATTTTGAAAGTATCCACGATTTGTAAAACGTAATCTAATAAGAATAATGTATGTAAAAAATGGTTAGTAAGAAGTAAATACAGCACATTGGCAAATAAAACCTTCGTCATCATCATCTTCAACAGCCCGAAGACGTCCACTATTAGAAAATTGACTAAAAAAACTTATATTAAACATTTCTACAGATATAAAAATACACTTTCATTATTAAAAATGTATAAATAAAAAAACATCATTAGGTACTATCTACATCTATCTATTGTAGTTTTAAAGTTGTCTATGTATTGTGAACTGGTATTTTTAATTAAGGGAGCCATTTATCCACTAAATTAATAGATGGCTCAGTAAAACTAAGAACGTTAATGAAGAGAAAAGGTGTTGTGTGTTTACGGTTCGAAGGCGAATAAATAAGACAGTATTTTCATTTTCTTCGTCAAAATATTCTCAAAGTATTTAGATTATTAGGGCCGATTCTTCAATCATCACGTATTTTTTAGCTGTAGAATGAAATTGACATTTTACAGGTTTTTTTTTACTTTTTTTAGAGAAGATTTTTCCAACGCCAGATAAAAACCAAATTTACAAAATTAACAGTTTTTAGTATAGAAGACATCATAGCATAACATCACGCCTTTTATCACCGAAGCGGTAGGCAGAGGTGCACACAGAAGTAACACCCACTTTTCACTACTTATGTTTTTTTTTAATAAACCGGACACAATTCCAGACTCCGTACTACTACTGAGATTTTTTTTTAAAAACCCTGTATACTTTGCCCGATTTGGGAATAGAACCCGAGACCCCTTGCCCGGCAGTTTGCACTTTTGACCACTCGGCCAACGAGGCAGTCTAGTATGGAAGAATTGTCAAATAGACTTATTTCTCGAAAAAAATCGGCCCTAAGTCAATAAAACTAAAGAATAGTAAGTCTATAGTGGTTTATGTCCAACAGTGAACGAGAACAGGCTGATGATGATTAAGTCTACAACTAAAACTATGTTCTTAATCAATTATGTCATAATCAGACCAGCATTTCAGTAGCATAGTTCTGTAAATGTAACATATACCTGGTTTCATTATTTAATATTCATTGGAATATATGGAATTTATTTCTACTTTTGTAATTTCTTTTCTGTATTTGATGAGGTACTGCGTCCTATTCTTAAGTTTAGTAAATGTCTATGGAATTTTTAGGACCAAACTATGAAATTTTAACGATCACTGCCTTACATTATTAGGTACCTAATTGATGAGCATGTTACGATATTTATAACAAATTAATGGTAAATAATAATAAATTGTAGTTTCCGAGTATTCAGTGATTAATCAACATGTAATAATTTAGTGGAATACGACCTTCAATATTTGATATTTATTTATGTTATTAATTTTGTTAAATTACAGTACATGGGTCAACACTATCGTAGGTAGATATTTATCATAATTATAAATATTTTTAGTATTGTCAAATATAAGTACTAAATATGTATAATTTATTTACTAAAGTAGATTAAATGTTACAGCCATTACCGAAGTATTAAGTATCATTCAAATCGGTTCAATAATTTAATAGGTTAAGCAATGCACACAAATATACAAAAAACCTATTAACAACATCAGTAGGTTCCTACACGTACATGTAAGCTAAAAGGGACTCTATTACTACAGCGTGGGTAATAAAGTTGTATAAACGAACGTATTACGGGCGGTATTAATCACTTCATCTAATTAATTAGCGAGACACGTTACCGATTTATTGGTAACAACGTCAGTAGTTATAAGTTTTGCTACCTACCGAGCGACTGTACTTCGATCGAGACCCGATTCTGTGAGTGTTGGATTTTGTATTGTACTGTTTGGTAATAAGGTGCTTTATTTATTGTAATTTGAAGGATAATGGACTTTTTTTCGGCTTCGAATTTTATGAATATATGAATTAAGTCTGTGAGAGCCATGCTTCGGTACGGATGGGCTGGCTTGACCGGAGTCATACCACGGCCTCACAGAAGATTGTCGTGAAACAACGTTTGCGTTGTTTTTCGTCGTGTGAGTAGGGTTACCGGAGATACAATTACCCACAATTACCCAATCCCTGAATCCTCAACAATCCTCAAATTGCTAATTTCAAAAGGTCGGTAACGCACTTGTAATGCCTCTAGTGTTCCAGGTATTCATAGGCGACGCCGATTGCTTACCATCAGGTGATCCGTGTGCTCGTTTACCGGCTTATCACATAAAAAAACTGCTTTATTGCACAATCCTGTATTTGAATCTGAAAGTAACACGTCTCAATCCGAATCATGGAATTAACGGAGCAAAAACTATAGTTTTGGTCTTGAAAACTAACAAGTAGACAGATCGCCTGGATGCCCATGGACTCCTGTAATTTCGATGTTTTTTTTTGAGGAAGAAAATCATTCAATGTCTCTCGCCTTGGTTGAGGCGAGAGAAAGAAAGAAAGAAAAACCATTT